AGATAATCGTACCTTATACAGGTGTCTGCTGTTAGTCTTTTCTAAGCTATTAGTTGGTACTCATAGATGTGATAATAATATCATTTCAATCTTACTAAGTACAACATTGACAACATTAGACACACAGAAACCCATTGCTACCTATGCCTAAATCTATTCATGCCTTCATTACCAAAAGCACTCCATTTTTCTGGTCCATGTCCGAGATGATAATTGATCCTATTTACGGTGTTCTGGAAAAAGTAGACTATCCAGACGGGTAAATCAGTGATGTACGATAGTTATTCTCATCTTCTGTTCTTCTAAGTAATGCATATAGAATATCAAATATTCACCTGAAAAGTATGATAAGGTAATCGACATATCCTATGCAAATAATAAGCACAAATAACTCCGGTTACAGTGTGGAAAAGTATTTTGATCTTTAAAAAAAATTTTTTCCCTTAAAATTAAAAAGTCTTCCCTACGGTTCTCTTAAGAAACGATTTCTATAATGCGACTAAACACAAATATTTCATCATAAATTGCATAATTCTTAATGGAAGCAAGAAACGAAGAAAAAAAAGGGGCGAAAGATTAAAATTTCCAATCAACTTACTTATCTGATAGACAATCAATGGTACATTTCGTTCGATCAGTAGAGGGCCTTGTCGAGATAATTGTATGATTCTCCGAGAGTACGTTTAAAAATTGACGTGGAACTCCGGTGATAAAATGGTAATTCATTGATTATTATGTCAGCGTTTTCTAATAATATTTGTTATTGGTCGGATGAGATCGATAAAATTGTAGTTAATTTGTTTTTGAGTATTAGAACCAATAAAAGAGAAAAAACATAGAAATTGATGTAAAACTTGGATGGTAAAATGATAATTCACTGATTATATTTAATTATTCTTAAATTAACTTGATTAATAAATACCTTCTGGTGATATCTATTATCGATTGAATAATATTGACAATTTTACAATTACTTTTAAGTAATTAGAAGCAATACAATAGGAAAAATATACAATACTGATTTGAAATTTGAGTGACAATGATAATTCACTGATTATATCCACGTTTTCTGATAATATCTGATCGGATGTGGTCAATAATATTACAGCAAATCGAATAATCAGTGAATCAACAAATCAATGAATTGTCATCTTACTATTCAAGCTTCGCATTAATTTCAATATTTTTTCTCGTTTATTGCTTCTAATATTGAAAAACAAGTTAATTGCAATATTGTTAATCTCATCCAATCAATAACAGATATTATCAGACGTTAAAAAGTCATAAAAAATATTACTGTACCAAAACACAGTAATATTAAAATTCCAGAGAAAAGTAAAAAATTAAAAATTTCAAAAAATATTGATGGAAAATTCTCGAAAGTATCTATTATAAATTCCAAAAAATGTCAATAGAAAATCTCCGAAAATATCTATTATGGGAGTTTATTTTCGAAAGTTTGTTATAATTGATTTGAGGACATTCTTACTTGCTAAAGATTGAAATTCTTCATTTTAAATTTATGCATCGAATTTTGATTGTTTTCGAGAAATAATGTCCGTAATTATCATTGTAATATGGATCCGTTGAAAACTGCACAGTACTTATAGCATTATCACTCTGAAATTATAATGTAAATATTCGAACGGTCCATTCAAATCATTTAAGAATCCTGAAACTTTAATTTTTTTTTGCAATTCGATAAAAACTTGGTGTCAGCAGTTCAAAATTATTTTTAATGAAAGACCTTGCGGTGTTTAAAGATATCTATGAGAAAAATTTGAACAATTGCCTTTTTTTTGTACTTTTGCACTACCAGTGGAAGGTAAAAAGAAAAGAAAAAAGAGAACAATTAATTAAAACAATTAAATTAAAAGTTGTTGAATAATTCGTTTGCTAAAGTTAATCGTGAAATAAAGAATTGTTATGCAGCAAAAATCTTTTAATCGATTCAGAAGTAAAAATTGTTCAACATTCAATCGGAAATGAATTATCATAAATCGAAAAATAATGAACGTACCAAAACAATGGCATACATGAAATTGCATTCATTACAATCAAGAAGAATGGAAAACAGAAATATGACAATTTCGCATTTATATAGGTGATTTTGAAAGATATTGTCAAAGTAATATATAATTCGTACAGATTAACTTTCAGCAAATCGCCAAATTAATTGGACTTTCAAAAAAAAAAATTTCTTTTTTATTTACCAAGCGTCGAATTATTTTTCTCTGATTTCAAACTTTAACGGTAACAATAGTTTAGTTTTCATTGTTAACATACCGCCTAACAAAATTTTTATCGCCAGAAATTTTTTGTTTTGTTTGACGAGTAAAGAAATATAGTACTGGCATCATAATAAAAAGTTAGGATTGATTTAAAAAACTGTTTGGAATAGAAATTTTTATCGATATCACTTCTGTATCAAGATATTCCACGAAGTTGCAAAAATAGCTTTAAAAAGCCTTTAGCCATGTTGCAATTTATCATGATGTATCTGTATTCTAGTGGGAAACTTGAAGTGATGGATAGTGCTAAGTGATAGTGCTAATTGTTATAGCAAATGGAACTTGTTCAAGCCGTCTCTCGCTTTCACCCTAATACTTCGAAGCGTGAAGTTACTAAAAGTATCAAAATGTTGGTACACAACAAGACAACTGACGAAATATTTGCGTTTACTATGGTTAATTTGACAATTTTTACTCTCTGTTGCGAACTTTACTTCCAAGATTTGGTCTTCGCATGATGTCACCGTTTGATAGGACAGTGTGATTAAGCCGAGTGGTTTGACACCTTTCAGGAATCCATTGTTAGTACACTAGTGCTACTATTAAATGACCGGTGAACTTTACTGGTTCTGTAATTTCAGTGATTTATCTGCAGCTCGTTATATTGTTTCCATTAAATTTTTCCAACTCACACAAAACTGTCTTTGTTACAAATGAATGAAATTAGTAGCATATTTTGTAGCAAATTAGTATGTTAGTATAGTATATATTAGTATATAGTATCATATTATATTAGTAGCAGTAGCATATTAATAGCATTTATATAGCAGGAGTGATAATTTTCAGAGATATGACCCTAAGAACTGAAGAAAGAATGCTATACATAAATATTCAAATTGATGTCATCATTGCTCGAAAAGGAGCAAATGAGCAGATCTTGCAACAGCATAGTGGTTAGCTAGATTATTGTACAGAACTCCTCAATATATTTTTGGAAAGCTATCAGAATCATAATCGCAAAGTCATCAACTGTTGGGAACGTCTTTTAATCAACTGTAAACCAGCACTATTAATTAATTACAATTGATAGGGAGAACCAGGAATTCTGTTTTCCAAACGTTTATCAGAACTGCTAACGTAGGTTGCTATGTGTATTGCTATGTGTATGTGTATTGTTATGTTTATTATGTAAAAAAGCACCTAGTTCGAATACTCAAATTGAAATTAAATCAAGACTTAACCATATTTAGACTTCATCCTCCTTCAATTATGCATTTGGATGATGCCCACGCAACCATCAAATAATTTTTGAAGTTTCGATATTTATAATTGGTTGACTGATATTAAAAATGCTAATATCCCAGATTAAGAGGAAATGACTGACGTGAATGTATTTTTCATCATTTTCATTGTCTTATTCACTCTTATTTCTATAAATAATTTGTAATTTCCACTTAAAATTCATCATATTGATACAGTTATCTTTGTAGTTCTTGCAACTTTTCTGTGTTATAAACATAAGATGCATTTCTGCATTTAACCAATAATATTCCAACTAATCTTGAAAAATCCTAAGCTGTTCACGCTAATTTATCTCAAACTGTCCGATAACCAATAGATTTTAAGGTACTGCTAAAATTTTTATGTCTAAAAATTGCCATAAAATAATTATTAGCTGTTTTTTTACTGCCACTTAATACAGAGTGATTTAGTATGTGATATTTATTACTCAGATCTGTTTCACATTTAAAACGCTGTATTTTACGGTTGTGATTATTGGGAATTATTTTTCCATTACAATGATAGACAAGACAGTAAACAAAAAAGGAGAAACATTCAAATAAGTGAAATCTGTATAAATCAAGTCTATTTAATAATTAATAGAATGTACTGGTCGGAATTTTTTGGATGAAATTCAGGTGAAAAGTGATGCTTTATTCCAAAAAGACAATGTTCCAAAATTATCACCTTTAATCACATTTGAGCATGCATTTCTGGAAGAGCTCGTACCTCTGAATTGCATATCTAAAAATTGCAGTGAAATTTACGACAAGTAAATGTGACTGTATTTTCCTTATTGAGAGCTACTCTGACGGAGTCTCGGTTCACATAGTCTCGAACTCTCGAAATTCGTTTCATAGTGTATTTATTATGAAAATAAAAGATCTTTTTTTGATTTACAAAACTTACTCTAGATAGCCAAAATCAATAGTTGAGATTTGAGATTGTACCAAGGCCCAAAGAGCCCAAAAGAAGTGAGCAGCCTGAAACATTTCGTCAAATTACTTTGCAGAACTCCCATTTATTTTCATTTTTTGAAAAAGTTCCTTATTGTTAATTTATAAATAAAACAAAAGTTCAAGATTTACCGCTTCAAAAGCATTATTTCCATCTAGGAGATTATCAACTTCATCTTTTGTAGGTTTTCTTTCTAAATAATATGTCAAATATTTTGTTATCCAGTCACGTTTATACTTCTTATCAGGGCATCGAGAATAGTTGAAATCATCCACACCTTTAAATGTGAAACTTTTTGGTCTGTCATCTTGCTTAGTTTAACGGGTTAATAAACGTAAGCAAATAACAACGTTCCTGGCATTTCATACCACGAACTCTTAATAATGTGCATTTGCGCGCAATATTTTTTATTATGCGTCACTTTTTTAAAAGTATTCTAACCAAATATTTCTAAAGTATGGAAACAATAATAACAGTAATAATTGTTGTGGGATAAACGTCTAGCTGGAATAGTTTCAGATACTTTGAAACACACTCATGTGTTCCGCTGAGCTAATTGAAATGGTTGTTGCTTTTTCTCACCATTTAATCTGATTCCAAGCATTTTAAAAAGTAGGATCATAAACTAACCGGCATATTCGCAAAAGTGATTAGCTATATCGAAGTCTTGATAATTGTAATCAGCATACTCATAGTCAATAAAACTTATTGAGTCTGAATTGGAGAAATAATTTTTAAAAAGTTCTAAAAATAGCAACATTTATAAATTGTGGACAAGAAAAAAAATCAAACTGATTTGTTTCTCATAAAAGTAATAAGTTTATTAAAGTAAAGCTTGAGACGAAGATATCGAACTGATGCTGTCTTTTGCTTTCATATAACTTCAAAGAAATATTCGTAAATCTTCATTGAGAAAAACTTGAGAACTGCAGCAGGACAGTTACTGCTTATTACTCCAAACAAAATTTATCAGGTTAATTATGGCAGCAGCATATTATAGTTTTGTTTTAAACATAGCCATGAAAATTATAAAATTGAACCTGTTTTATCATCATGGATAATGTTATGGATTAGGAGATCGTTGTGGCAAAAAACAACTTCGGATTGCCGTCGTTGAATAACGTCTCGTAGACCGTGCAAGTCACGTAAGAAGGAAATCTCTCGTTGTTTAAAGAATTCATCATATCTCTCTTGCTTTTGCTTATTCTAAGAAAGAAAGAACATACGAAGGCAAGAGTAGAAATAAGGACAGTTGTTTAACTTTCATGCCTAATTAATTGGCAGAGTAATTAAGTATTGAGAGTAACTGAAAAATGACCTCATAATGATCGGAAAAATTTGCCAAAAACTGCTTGATTTTGATAAATAATGTGGGCTTTGTTTCATCGCCAGTGTCCGGTTTTAGTTTGTGCAATCTTGAAAGTGCTTTACAAGTATTCCTGAAAGTATCATTGCAATAAGAAATCGATACAGTTTTCGGTTTTAGGAAGAGAATGATCCATTATTACGAATCAGGAAGGGTCACTGAACTTCAAAAAAGGCTTAACAGTGTTTGGTTGCCTCAGCGCAATTCTACTGTATTTTCAGAAAAGTACGTATTTAAAATCTGGGATTACTTGCTGTTTTTCTTTCCAACTTGCCATCCGGCAGTGTCTGAAATAGCATTGTAAAATTCGGATAAACTTCTGCAGGTAAATTTGATAGCTTAAATCTTATTTTTTCCACTCTTCAATAGCTGTTTAAACAAAAATGGATTTAAAATGGCTAATTTAAATATAAGCAAATGAAGATTTGTTAACAACAATTTTCACGCCAATATAACCACTGCTGCTGTTGAAAATAAAAAGAAAGATCATGTAAATAACATACGTGACAATGGTCTCGTCACGTAAGTTGTCAACAGTAAGCGCATGTCCAGGGAGAAAGCCGCTTACAATCCCGCCGGAGAACTTTGCATATACTTGGGCGGCACATCCCTGTGACGCCAAATATAGCCAGTTGTTGAATTCCTTATTCCTTTAATCAAATTTTTAATAGTTGAAAAAATCGTACTTAAGGTCATATAATTTCAGCCCCAAACTGCGTATTCATATGATAACAGGCACAAATATATTGTAAACGTCATGAAACAGTTCTGCTTGATTTACTTGGATAATAAAGGAGAACGGTTAAATCATTAGACTGACTTGACATCTAACAGTGAACTAACCATCTAGTCTAGTTATAATGATATCATTTCTTCTAACATTCGAAATACTGAATTGATTGAGCTACCTGTCGATGATTTTATCCGTATTATTTCCGTAAATGCGGAACAGTAATCGCTCTTTTAGTATGGTACCATTTACTGGAGTGTATGTTGCACACAGGATTTTATTCGTTATTCCAACTGTGAAAGCCTAAATTTATTTTTATAATTTGCTTTGTTCTCAAAAAGAAGTTTCTAGAAACTTTAGAAATTGGAAAACTTATAATTAAATACCAACTTTGAATGAGATCAGTTCGCGCTCCCATGATGGTTTGATTTCCTTTAAAATAAGCAGCGCTCCTTCTTTAGTGGCCTCATCGTCAATCAGCGGTAATTTTATGTTTACCGTTAAAATGTCATTTGCAGCTGGCATTGTACTGCAATTAATGTGAATTAGAAAACAGTTACGATGATGACTCTTCAACAAAAACGAATTTAATCTATGGTATTCAAAAAATGCAGAATGTTAATTGGAATAACAATAGCAGGCGTTGAACAGTGTAAATGGTCTTAAAGTTTGTTACAGCAATCATTTTGATGAGGTATTGATAGAATTTGGATGAAACGTTTAAAAACTTCCAGTTGCATAAGTTTGGGAAGTTTCAGGACGAGATATTGATAACTTGTTAAGGAGAAATCAACAAATTAATTGCATTGGTACGTTGTTATTTTCCTGGTCAAACAATCAGGTCGATCAAAAAAGCTTTTAGGCAAAAACGTTCAATTATATGCACCTCAAAAAAATAAAATTTCTCCCACTTTACATTCCCATAATTTCAAATAAATATTGACAACAAAACATGATCCTAAAAACTGAGGAATATTTTAATGAAGGGAAAATTTAACATATAATTTTGGATTACTCGAATGTTTTCTGGATTTCTTGCTGTCGAGATGAAATGATTGATCCTGAATGATGATGAATAGTGCTCAGTAACTTCCTTCAAAGTACAAATAGACAATATATTTTTCACCTATGCGTTTCATATGCCAGTACTTTGTTGTATTTTCATATTCCTGCGGTAATGTTTTGCATTACAAAAATGTCAAAAAAAAGTTTTTCCCATTTAACATACTACAATAAATTGGATTCATAAATTTCATGAAATTTAACATTTATAATCGATACGTACTTGTTTCTATTACTATTAATAATCGTACTTTACCAAGCTGTATAATTTAATCGATCCTTTTTGAGCCACAGAAATGTTTACCATAAAAGTAAATATGTAATTATCGCTGGAACTCTAGCAAAATAAATAAGCCAGATGACAAGTTGCAAAGCTGAACCTACTGTGGCAATATTTTATAAGTAGATATAATACTGTCAGATTTATTACCGAAAGCCAAACTAAAAAATTGGACAGCATGATTAGAACTGATAAATTACTAGTTTCTAAAAAACCACGAAGGCCTGGGAAGATGCCATGATGAACACTGAAGCAAATGACTAGAGTTAATGAAATCGATAAATTAAAATAAAATTATTATGGTTAAATTAAATTTGTATAAGCAGAATTGGAGATGTAAATATCAAGCAACGTTGGTAATCAGATTCTTTTTGCAATAACTGATAATATTATATCAACACTGCCGACTATCAACATTATGATGGTTGTGCCGAAGATGACATATTCAAGGAAAAGTAAGGATAGGAACATTCGGAATGAGATGATTTGTGTTTATTGCTAATATTGACTGATTAACTATACGCCAATGATCAGCACTTGAAATGGCTTACCTTATGGCAGTTGTACCTAGAAAACAGAGTATAAGGCAAGAACAGTGTCAAGATGAGCTTGTACTGGTCGAAGATGCAGGTCAAGATAATGAGTGCAGTACTGCATGCTCAAATCTCTTCATTCTCATCCAGTCATTTTCAAATGCATAGCAAGTAACTGCAGTTAAAGCAGCGTGCTAATTCTCATCACTGTGCCGGATGAAGCAGTATTGCAGAGATCGGAACATTACGGAATGGCTGCATATCTTCTTTGAAGAAGGGTCGCAAGCCTGTGTCATCCTGTGCACATTTATATTCAACGCTTAAGATGTCGCAGATTGCAGTAGCAGCAACCAATATGACACGCTATCCAATCGACAAAGGTTTGGCGAGATGGAGCAGTAGTGACAAGCACCACTAGGCTTGCAGCAAAAAGATGCAAAAGAGGGACGGAGTTGCGCCACTGTTTCGGGCATCTAAGTCACACATCTCCATCAAGCGAAAGCCTCCTATCGCCTTCATGCAGTCCCTCTGATATCCCTAAGCCACTCCCTCTCCTCTCCCTTTTCCTCAAAAACCCTCTCTAAAAGTCCTTCTTGTTGCCGGAGCGATACATTCATCCAACATGCAATCATCCATTCAATGCGTTCAAACAGCATTGCACTCCCAACAATCCTTTCATGACCCACTTTTTCATCTCATTTCCTAAGCCCTTTTTTATATTCTAGCGATCACTCATTCAGAAGAAAACAGTATCTTAAGTCTAAGCCTAAGCTTCACATGCCTTAAATCATCTCTACCCCATGAAATTAGATAAAAAGTGAAGCCGATCCAACTTATTTTTTTTCATTTTCTTTATTCTTTTAACACCTTATTACTTGCATTATCACTAAATGTTATTCCTGCACTACTTTTAGATTCTTCTTACATCTTCTTAACATCTGACGGTTCTACGGCTTACTCCATACTCTCCAATTCTTAATCTAACATGAAGTACTTGCACATTCAATCCTTCTAGTTATACTGATCGAACAGTCGATCATTTCATGAATTGATTGCCTTTTGAAAAAAAAATAAATAAATAAATTGATTGCCTTTTTTTTGTGCCGTGAAGTGACTCGTTTTTCAAAGTTGTTATTCCATATTTTTAGCAAAATTTCAAGCTTGAATCGATGGATAGAAGAAGAAGGAGATTGCTAAGGTGGCCCATCTCCTAACATATATTGCCATTGGGTGTCCGTTTCGCGTCCCATGTTTGACGCTATCAAAGAGGTGCAGTTATTTAATAAATCTGCAATATGACCAAAGTACCATTTGTTCAAGCAACAAATTTTAACTATTATCAGTTGTTTTCATCTGAATAACGTGTTTCTTTTTTTCAGGTGATTGGCGAAATCAATCTTAAATTAAATGCTGTTAACGATGAACTCAACGCAAGAATGAGTTATAACACTGAAAACAGTAAGCCTTTTTATTTGCCAGTGGTTACCAGTTAAGTGCGGTGTAGATGGTCATTTATCCACCGGTCATTGAGGGTTTCCAAATAATGGAATCTGTTGTAGGACAGAAAGAATATTTTCATGTGGAAAATACGGTACTTCGAAGTCATTAACAATGACGCTTGCCATATATTTCTAGTCATTGTAGAGATGCAAAAGTGGCTAGGGACTCTCTCCGAGCCTATTCAGCACTCATCATTGGAACATCACAGATTCGATTGCGTTGCTTGCACTGCTGTGGGAATGCTTGTCCTTCCAAGGCTTCCTAAGCAGGCTAACCTGATACCAACTTCTTAGTCTGAGTCATAGTTAAATTTTGAACTTCTAAGCTAACCAGTAAGACAACTAAGAAAGAGAAGAGAGCGGGCGTAGAGTACAACCACACAACAATACTTCAAATAAAACTCATTTACCTCACATGTGAATCGTTATCTTCCCTGACCATTTAACGCTGTCCCATAAATAAGGAAGATTAAAACGATGTTTTATTCCTTTCCACTCTGTCTGCTTTATAAACCTTAAAAACAAAGAAACTTATTTACTGAAGGATCTTTTAATACTTCTTCAACACGTCACAGTTCGTTAGAAGGAATATTGTTTTTTGTATGAAATAGTATATGATCGATCGATCAATCACTCTACCACACAGTAGATCGATCGGTCACTCCACCGCACAGTAGATCGATCGGTCACTCCACCGCACAGTAGATCGATCGGTCACTCCACATGGTTTATTTCTCCATAGCTTCATCTCCGCTGCAGGTAAACTATTGTGTGATCAAAACAGCCGAATCCATCTATGGGTGTCATAGTTAGAAAGGCAGAAATGGAGAGGAAAGAAAAAGAAACAAGATTTGGGATGCAAATTTTAGGAGAATGCTGAGAAAAATTTTTTCCAGTGGATGTAAATGAAAGGGCCCTGTCAGCTTTGCAACATGTTATAGAAAAAGCTTTTCTTCCCACAAAATAATTTTTAGATTGTAAAACCAATTCTTGAAACCATTTAAGTGCCTCCATTTAATTAGGAACAAATTAGATTCCGTCTAATCTTTCGAACTAAGCCGTATTTTTGCTTGCTCATTGGGTAACCCTAAATTTGACTTCCTTTTGAAGGAAATCACGGAAGTAGAAATTTTAGACCGATTAATTGAAGTTGTATTCCTAATGTTTGTCAGGTACGGAAATCATCGGTTTAGAACTTTCATGTTTCATTGAAACCTAAACATTTCCCTAAATCTAGTTCGATTTCAAATTTGGAATAAGGAATACAAAACATAGCGAAAGGAATTCATGCGAAAAATTACAAATCTTCAGGATTTGGATTTTCTATCAATTTTAATCATTTCAACTTTTTTCAAGCTAAAAGTAGATTTGTAGCAACCTTCGTAAAAGTAACATTTTTTTAAATTTATACATTAGTTATTCGGAAATGAAAACAATCTTTAGGACTTGTATTAAATTTTTTTTTTTTTAGCAGGGGTATAAACCACAATAGTATTATAATATAAAATGAGAATTACAATGCTGTTGTTAAAAATAACCGATGCCACTACAGAACTATCCAAAAGGTCATTTTCTTTTAGATCTATGCTTAAGGTAATAAGTGAAATATGACGTACAGAAGCGGGGGGAAAAATGTGAGTTGCTTTCTTTTTGAAAAGAAGAGCTCTAACTAAGTAAATAAGTTGACGCCAACACCAAAATGTTTGTATTAGCTTTTGATATGTTTAGAATTAAATTTATTAATGTTTAAAATAGTTCCTTTTTCAAAGAAAGGAATTTGTTTCATCGAGGGAAAAATGATTCAGAAATATGCTGTCAAAGTGAAGAGACAAGTATCGGTTTTTTTCGGGTGGAAAAATGACAAAAACAATGAAAAAATATTCTTAGATCCTTAGCTAAACTGAGATTAAAATGTGCATTCGTAGTTGTCACAATATCACTAGCAAGCCGCTATTTTTCCAAGCATTCAAGCATTATCTTCTGAGTACCCCGTTTCATTTTCGTTGTTTCTAATCATCTAATGATGCTACCAGAACAGTGACTGATTGACTTGTCTACTTACAATACCAAATTTGCAGCTTTATCCGGGAAATTGAAGGCCTCAAGTTTTGATTGACAAACTCGTTCAGCAGGGAATACTGGGAAGTACAACATTTTTCCATTTCAAGGAGTTACGCATATTTTATCCGTTCCTCTGGTCTCGCCATCAATACTAGCAATTAACCCCACCTCTCTCCATTCACAAAAACTTAATTCTATTTTGTGTGAATCTAAAATGATGGATCCTCTACTGATCGTTTTCTTAGTAAAATCACACCACTTTTCCAGCATTTCTTTTCTCTGTTATTCTGTCATGTGCCAATAACTGTCCCAGCTGTTCATCTTCGGGATATTCCAGGGGGAGGTGGGGAGGGGGAGGAACATAAAAAATAGCTAATTCCGGCCCCATGAATTTCCCAGCAGCTTTGTAGATTTCCATGCACTTATTTCCTTCACCGGGCGTCATTTTTGTCCTTCATGAATTCCTTATTGTTTTGCACATCCTTGATTAGAAGCGAGGATTTTACGATAGGGATTTCCTAAATAGATGAAGAGGAAGAATGAAAGAAAAGAGAGAAGGGAAGTTATTACATTATAAACTTCCGGAAAAGTTGCAGAATTTGGACGTTTTTTTGCTGATTGTTGCAAGACGAAAAATAAATCAACCGGTTGAAACAGATTTGTTTCAATAGCTTGACGCTTGAAAGAAGATGAAATTTTACTACCAGTATTAATTGTTACCTAAGCATTCAAAGTTTGAAACGTTTGAGCAATAGGATTTATTTAAGGGGTAGCAATTGAATTCAAATTAAAAGGAGGTTATTTTAATTTCAAATTAAAAAAGAACATGTCAAGGAGGAAAGCTGCGATGTAGCTCTTTTATTAGAGTGAGAGTAAAAATTTATAAAGTTATTTTTGCAGCCTTGAGTATCGTAAAATTTCCTTTCTTTTCTTAACAACTGCATAGTGTTTGAAAGAGGTGAATTCCATAAATTTTACAAGAAAAAAGTGGGTTGACCCTTTGAGATCATTAAAAAATCTCATAAGAATTGAAAGGATTTCCTGGATCATGAAAAACCTTGAAAGATAATAGTGCCAATTATCGGAAAGATTTTTTGAAATTATGACCGTATTAATTTTACTTAAAATCTGAAATCTGTGAAATTCCGCTGGAAAAAGATTTGGCGAACTAACAAAGCCTCCAAGATGTTGAAGTATGGGGAGGGAAATCGTTAAATTTTGAATAGGACATAGGTGAATCCTTATTAAGAGATATATCAC